TATTGGTTATGATGTGAACAAATAGACAAAATTATAAATGATGATTTTGGTTGCGGCCAATTTTGCCTGACACTTCGTATGAATTGATCTGTCCATTCCGAACAGTAAAAAAAGAATTATGAGTTCATGATACAGTAGAAATAAACAGCTTTGAGGACCTCAACTCAAGCAGATTTTTTAGTACGAGACAATGTTAGAACAATCAAGGCATGAAAAATGTAGAAAACTGAGCAACTGGCCGTTAAATTCAGGCAATATACCTAGGCCGAGTGTTTTGTGAATATTAGCTTCTCTGTTTTTAAACAAAATAGTCCAAAATTTATTTTAGCTCAGTCCTTGGTCAAATAACAAAAGTGCGCAGGTTCACAGAACAAAACACAAAAAAATGAACAGAGAGGATGCAGCGGATGAATATAACAACTAGTTATTTTCAAAAAAATGCATAAAAAATTTCGAATTTTAAAAGAGATGAAGCGAAATGATTTACATTACTGAGCCAATCCATGATTGGATATTGGGCTTTCTCAAGCACCATGAATTGCATTGCCTCACCGTTTTGGTCAGCTAGCATACCTCTGTCCAGCAGACGAACAATGCTCGCTTGCGGATTCTGCAACAGTCAGATGAGGTTTTTCGTTTTTAATACAGCCAGCATCTTCCACCTAATTCTGTTGAACTCTCACAATTTTGAGCAACCACCAAATTTAGAATGCCAAAATAAACGCATCTTCTCAGTTCATTCTAACAATTTTAATGCTGCTCCAGAATGAGGGATGTCGAAAACATTGTTTAGAACAGAGACAAGATTAATTCATCCGGGCATAGGAGGTGTATTTTGATATAACGTCGCTAATTAGTGGTAAAAATAGTCTAATTAATTAGTGTGGGCATCCCATATTCATGAAATGCTCACCGTGAGTTTCCGGGCGGTCTAGGTATTTAATATAGTTAATGGCCGTTCTAAAATATACAGTATTTCCAACTCTCTCACCTCACATTTGCAAGCGGTCAATTGGACTGAGTTTAACAGATTAGTTGCATACTTTTCGGCTTTTACTTTCGATAACTGGAGGAATGTCTAACCTTTTTGTACATTTTTTCCAGCACGAAGCCTTCCCACTCAGCAGTTTGATTTCCCGCATCGCTGCCTATTGCTTTGGCCACCTTAATAACACCATGCACACCGGTTTCCACGTCGCGCACGGCAAATACTACACCATATGTGCCCTCATTAATTGTTTCCGTCACCTGGAAAATGAAATTTTTCTACGCAAATCTATTTTCATCACGTGCTGACAATCTAGCACCTGCAATTCGCACTACTAAGCAGCAAATCCTTCCAGTACTTGCCATCGAGGGAAGACACGCAGCTCTCCAAATGAAAAATGGAAGGGCTCTCGGGAATGGTAGCCTCAATATCAAATTGATCAAGTCCAGAGGTATGAACCTTTAGAAAGTTCTGGTTATTCGGTTCAGTAGGTACTGACAGAAAGAAAAATAACTAACAGTTAGTCAGGCTCAAATGGTTCTGCTGCACATAAAGAGCGATAAAAAATTGTCGTCCTATCTACTAACCATCTCATTTACAAGCTGTTTGCTAGGATTATCACTAACTGACTAGTAAGGCACATCGATGAACAGCAATCAAGGGAGCAAGCGGAATTTCGAAGTAAATTCAGCACGACAGATCACACTTTACCGGCTGCTAGAACGTGCAAGGGAGTGCTAACTTCTTCATTGTCTCCTATTCGTCGATTACGAAAAAGCATTCGGAACATAGTGCTGAATGTGTGCTGCTAGCTCTTGTAGTAGAGTGGGCTAAAGTGAATTATGTGAAAACTGTTGACTAAGCAAACGTAGTTTTTAGACAGGCATGACTCTTTTCCAATCCAATCCTTATACTGATCGTAAGGGATTTGAAGCAAGGTGATCCTGTGTTGGCCACGTGTAAAAAGCACATAACGTTATTTCTTTTATGTAAGAAGATACCTCCTTGCGAAGGCTGCTTAGAAACAAGCTGATGGCAATTTAACTCCCTGGCACATGTTAGTACCAATTTACCAATTAACTGAATAAACGACTCGTAACTGGTTTTATTTTCTATGAGCTAGAATAAGAAGACAAAAGATTTGCTCAGTGAAGGGGCAAAACCCGGCACATCTCTGTAATACGCTCCTATAAATCTTTGTAAAAATGAATGCTGTCAAACTAAGCGTTCGATTTTAGTAAGACCAATAATTTGATGCAAAACGTATAAAAAAACTGAACCTGCCAACGTTTATTGAATGGAGCAATGGATCGCAAATGTTCAGCGAGCGCGTGTTGCTTCTGTTCCTCGTCAACAGGCTAAACTATTTGTTAAATTCGTGAGAAAACTCATATGAGTGGAGCCAAGCAAAAAGTGAAAGCAAAATGGCCTGGCATACAAAAAAATAAATGTGCGCTTGTTTGTGTTGGAAGTTTGTTGTTTTCTATTCTGTGACAAAAACACCTCAAGTACAGGCTTACTCAACCTTCCAAAACAGCAGAATTATTCAGGCTGAGAGATGAAATCAAAAAAAGCAAAAACTTTTTTCGGACCCGCGAAAAAACGGCAAAGAAGCAGTCGCAAAAAAAACGTATACTACTAATTGGAAGGATAAGGATGGAAAGAACCAAAGGCTATAACTTCTTCAAGGCAAATGCGCAATATTGTTTCCAGACTACTTTTAGGTAGTCTGGAAACAATATTGCGCAGTGCAGAGATTAAGGGCCGGTAGTGCAGAGATTTGGCATGTCGCGTTAGGATGTGGAGATAAGTGATTCTATTTTCACCCGGTGCGTGCTTGTTTGCAAAGGCAAGCTCTATTAGCACATTTTTGGATGGAGCAAACAAAAGATTTTTCCTTTATTGGTGTTCTGAAAATTGCGGCAGTATGAATGCATTTTTAAAAAAAAAAATTTAAATATACCTGCCGTGTAATTTTGGCCACTGATCTCAGTTCACTGAGTTCCGCCCCTTTTGCTCTTTTCCTGTTTTTATCCATGCCCGTGCAACTCAACTAAAATTTGAGTACACACTACTATAGCAAATGGCTGACATATAATAGGAGGGAAGAGAGAAGAGGAATGAGTTCAGGAAAATCTCCCCTTGCTGACGGAGAATAGATGACGCTTATCAGGGTGTAGAACCGGAGAGTAAGAAATCAATCAACCAGTTTGCATCCGCGGCGATGATGGATACACTCCCCAGACGCATCTGTTAGGTACCAGTAGCTGGCGGGCTAGAGTGGCCTGGAGTGGTCGCGTCTTTCCGTGTAGACACGCCGTACTGTACCACACTTAAGTAAGCGAGTAAAGGACGAAAGAAGTTAGATAACTGCCTGCTGCCTCGGGTAGCCTAGAATCGTGAATCTGGTCACAGAAATGTTCGAAGGGCATTGTCTAACTTTCGCATGTTGAAAGCAAAAGAAAATTTCATTAAAACTTCGCCGAATTTGACTTAATGTACTTTGACTAAACAAATAAGAACCTGATAGGTTGCAAGCTTCCGCTCCATCTGGCTAATCATCCGACTCTCACGTTCCGTCCTTTTATCCATTGTGTTCGATACAGTATGCCTGTTGTGAGACTAGTTAATCTTATCTAACCTCCTGCAAAAATATTTTTGAAGAAAAGCACACACAAAAATAATGAAATAGCTGAAAGGATGCAGGAAGAGCCGACGTTTCTGATAGTGGGAGGGAGGATTTGTCGTAAGTTTTTTTTTTTTCATGAAAAAAATAAGTCTGAAAAAACTTCCTCAATTACTAAATCTTTTATTGTATGCGAGCATTCACTCATCTGAAGAAATATTGCACATACATTGAATAAACGGTGGATAACAACTAGAAATACTCATCCTACGATCGAATGTTGTGGCATAGTTACTTCCGGAGTGTGACAGTATACCCACACTGATATCTACCTAAATCTGGTATTACTAGTATGTTCAAACATTCATCAGTGCATTTTCAGTTACTTATATTTACTTCTTGTAGTGGAATAAGTACTAACATTTCCAAAAAAGAACATTCTTCTTTGACGATCGCGATGGAAAGAGCCATACAATGAATTGAATAAAAATAAAATCGGTTGAGACGGTTACTGAGGCAGGTAGGATTTCGTTATTTACGATTATGTCATATTGAAAGCAGAGCATGGAAAATATTATGCGAAATTTGGAAAACGGATCAGTTGATTTGGAAAAAACTCGGCCAGTGAGCAAAAAATTTGATGACACTTCGATTTCTTTGCCGGGTGCAGATGTATGACTCTAGCAGACGGTTCACAGAGTCACTGTGATTTGAAGAAAGTTTCAGAAATTAAGCCTGTGCATTAGTGGTGCCGTACCTTCTAGGTTGTCGAACCAACTAAACGGTGCTCGATCTGGAGTGACTAATGGATTTTGATTGATCTTTCAGAGTATTTATAATAACCAAATGCCGGAAGCGGAACTGTGAATTTTGCATACGATGTAAATTAGCACATGGAATGCAAATGACATAAATTAAACCACATTCTTATGCGATTGAAACTTATATGTCGTATTATGACTCTACAGTTTGCTCGTACTGTCCTATTGAGCAGATTTTGCAGGTATCTTTGTATTAAAGAGAAGGCATAACAAAAAAAAGGAAAAAACCAGAAAAATAAATGTCATTTTATGGTTTAGTAATAAAATTTACCTTAGTCACGCCTGGTATGTGAAAGCATACAATAACATCGCCAAACCGAAATGCAAAAACTGACACCAGGACGGCTCGTAAAATCTAATACAAAGTAAAAAAGTTGAATAAGAAACTAGGCTTGCTGTCCAGGAGCTAAATAGCATGTATTGCAAGCCGGTTTCAAAATCCGACAGCGTAATCCCCAAAAACTGCACTTCCTTGGTTTAAAAAGTGTGAGTGGTAGAGTGTAGTGGATCGGGGTTGGAAGCGCACTGACGCTTTTTTCTAGTCCAAGTTTTTTTTTTAAGTTCAAATCTCTCATTTCAAAAACGCAGGATACCTAAGCACGCTATTATGTAGAGCAGTTTTCATTGTTTTTTCGAAAAAAATCAAAGATAATCTGACTTTCTCCAGTCGTGGCGAGCTACCAAGCGGTTTCAAAAAGGAGTTAAAAAATTCGATCTCTTTTCATCGTTAGTTCAAAAAAAAATAAATTTCAGGATCTGTTTATTTAGGAATTCATTGTTCTCACATGAAGAAGAAACTTTTGGAGGCTTTTTTATCAATAACAATAAAAAATTTAGTTCATTTAGTCAAAAGTAAAGTGCATATTTTACTTCGCT